ATATTGTAATAATTAATAATAAATACGTTTAGCAGATATTTTTGTATGAAATGCTTATGGTTAGAAAGTTATTTATTTTCACGCACTTTACTTTTATATGCGCTAAACTGCTGATAAGAAAGCATCTACGAAATTGGCAAGTTTTTTATTGTTTTCTCAGCTGTTATGCATACATGGGTTTTCACAGAAAAATGTATAAGAATGTAAATCCTCATGTTATTAAAAAATAACTATAATTTAACAGTGATTGAAGAAATAAAATTCTATTTTATTTGCACAAAAATTAACAAGCAGAATTTAATTAATTAAACGATAAAAACCATTTAAAAAGATTATATATTTCGTAATTACTTCCCTTTTTAGTTGCCGCTAATAACTACATGGAATCTTATATACACCAATTGAACATAAAAATCGCCTTTGCCACATTAAATGAAAAGGATTACTTGGGTACTAGAGTAAACATTTAAAACAAACTGATTTATATCAACTGTAAAACGTTAAAATATAACTTGAAAATAAGATAAAATTTTTTAGACTTATTATTTTTTTAGACTTCAACAATTATTTTATATTTTAAAAAATATAAAATAATTGTTGATTAATGATATACAAAATGCGTTTACTTAAATATTTTCTTCGAATGTGATCAATAATTCAAAACTCCAAGTACAAATTTTCCTTCTGTACTACTCTTTCCAACTATGTTTTGCAAAGATATGTTTCACAACTTTGTTCTTATATGTAAATATATGCTTTATTGCACTTATAGTTTGTTTATACTAATTACGTGCTGACATTCAGGAGTGGAGGTAAAATTTAAATCAGATAAACGTATTTACAGCACCTCAAAATAATCGCATAACAAAGTGTACTTTTAATGGTTGGTTACAAATCCGGTAACTCTATTGTAAGAGATGAACCAATGAATTTTTTCATGCTTCAAAACTTGAGGTCACCGAAAGTCTTCATGGTCTGTAGAAAATATTCAATTTATTGTTTGTCTTGAGTAAGTTCAATACCCGAATAAACCAAATATAACACTCTTTCTCTGCACCTTGATGCAACTATGTTTTATTGTAAAAATTGGTTTCATAGATTTGTCATTGCTTTCAAGCATATGCTTTATCTTATCAGATTTGTATTTAGCTTTGAATTGGCAATGATAACATAATAATACATTTTAAATCAAATAAAAATACACACGACAGGAATTTCTAGTATGCAATGTTATGTAGTTTAAAATTTTATGCACAAGTCTTTTATTTATCGTTGTAGAAAACATTTAATATTTATAGTTTTTCAAAAATGATTATATAACGCTATATCTCTTGAATGTTTGGTTGTAGATATATGTTTTTATTTTACGAAATGAACCAAATGAGACAGTCTCTCTGACTGTGAAAACATTGGTGCTATGACACACTTATATCAAAACCTTTATGAAATGTAATTTCTTACATGGACTCCCAATGAAATGTTCTCTAATTAAAAACTTGTTCTTTACGCAAACAAAGATCTTTAAGAGGAAATAAAACTTATACGTTTTGACTTTAGTAGGCAAAATTGTCAAAGTTATATGATTTCAATCATTTTCATTACAATTCTAATCATTTTCATCAAAGTCCATTTGCGAATCACATAAAATTGTATTTCATCAATTAAAAAATTTTAAATTTTAGCATTTCTTTAATTCGTAATTCGAATAGACTGCCTTATAAGGTATTTCACCCACTTCCCTAGCGTACCTTTGTGGTGTAACGGTAGCACGCTGGGCCGGTATTCCAGAGGTCCGTGGTTTGATTCCCGGCGAAGGCAGATGCATATTTTTCATCTTTCTGCCTTCCAAAAAATTCTAATGACTCTACAGCCTCTAAATTAATGTAAAATGTTTCTTAGAAATAGGCATTCCAAGCTTTGGTATGCATTATTATTAACAGCATTTGCAGAAGGCTTGAAAAAGTTTTAATTAGTGATATCTACCGTAGTTTTGAGATATGAGCCTAAAGATGATTTTTCAAATACTTCAAAGGTCAGTTATTGATTTCTTAGGAGTTTCCAATTAATTCAAACAAAAATCGAAAATTATAGTCAGATGATGATTTATGATCCTTCTTATATATGTTCCATATTAATAAAGTGTTCTTATCAGTAACATAGCAAATAGGAGCTTTTGAAAGTAATTTTAGCTACACTTCATAAAATCATTTTACAATAGGTGATATTTTATACTATCAATATTATGTATAAAACAATTTCTAACGCCAAAATCTGCCGGATGCGAAACTTTTAATTCCAGTTCTTGCGCTTATGCTCAAATGCGTCAAAAATAATATTTAATGGCAACAATGAAATTTCGTAGGAACCCGCAGAATACGATCCTCTCTTTACACACTAGTGTTCTTTCAAGTTAATTTAAAGAGTAATTGTCTCTTTCGAAGTAGTATCTATTCTTCATTATTTTGATAATTTTCTGCTTATACCACTTCAAAATTTTTATATTTTTCTGTTCAAAAATGAAATTCAGAAACAAACGCTGTAGCTTTAAAAATATTGCGAATTTAAAAATTAAGTTTATCAATGGCTAACAACCGGTATTAATTTTGTTTACTTCAGAGAAAGGTACCCCGGAAGTGTCAGACTGTAATATGAGGTTTCTAGATTATCCATCAAAATTATTTTATGAGTTTATTTTACTTATTCATCCAATTCGGCTAAACTGAAAACATATTTTTGTAGTTATCACAAGATTAGGAGCACCGTAGTCTAAAAGCTCACTACATTGTTTCCTTTCTTAAATTGGAAGCACAGGTCTACGACTAAGCATGAAAGGGATAGTTAATTAATTGTTCAATGCTTTTTTAAAAACATTTCGTAGTCATGAGAAGTACGCAGCAGTCATATGATAAATTTTGAACTGCCAGACTGCTCTTACAGTCACTATTTTAATTAATCCACTATTTTAATTAATTTTAATTAATAATTTTTAATCCACTATTTTAATTAATTTTAAGTTAATCCACTATTTTTTCTCCCTTTTAAGCTGTATTATTAAGTCTCTCTTTCTTCGCACTTACAGCACATACACATAGTTCAACAACAAAATCACAAACTTTTAAAATGCTGCAAATCATCCTATGTTTATAATTCCCGGTGCATTGTTACGTGTTGGTATAAATTTTAATATTTTGTTTCAATCTTTTCTCGGTTCATCGTATTAATTTTCCATTTTTTGTAACATGGCTAATAAAAATCGTTCTGTCATTTTATTATTAACTTTTTATGTGTTAACTTTAATAAGTATCACCTTCTTAGCGCTTACACCACATAAAATTAAATTCAACAGCAAAATTACAAAATATTTAAAAGCAGCATATCTTTAAAATTTCCGATAGGCAATCTAGTGCTCTGGCGATAAAAGTGTTTTATTCTGTGCTGTGCTTAATCAGAATTTCTTTTTAAGGTTTTCAGAATGTGAGACAACTAATAAAATAAATCGTATATTCAAGACTTGGGCTTCCAGCTGCCCATGTTCGGGGGAAGGACTACATTATTCAAAATTTTACGACTCTAAATACTGCCTTTTTTCAAATTTCGAGGAATATACATACATAAATGCAGAGTCTTCATTATTTAATTTCTTTAAATATAACACAGGGCGATAACATTTGCTGGCAACAATTTGAAAAGCGATACACCATTTATGGTGAACCAACGCAAAATCCCAACTCCTTTTAAGTTCAACCTTCTTTTGAGCTGATGTAGCATAAAATAATCGTTGTAGCATTTAAAGAGAAAAAATATCATATATTACAGAATATATAAGATCATTATGATACATGTAATAAAATAAATATAAAAACAAATATATTCCGTGCCCGTTATCAAATGTATTGTTGCATGATTGCCATGCATCATGTTTATTTTTAAGCATGTTACATGGCAATCCCATGGCATCTTACTTTAAATTTTATGGCATCAATCACTTTAAATACGGCAATTCTCTTTTACACGTTTCAACTTAATCTAAGACAGTCCTAAAAGAAGTGTTTTAGCAATTTCTATTCAGTGTTTGTTAAAACTACTAGTAACCGAAAAAATATTCTTTGACAATACATTTCTAATAAAATTATTATTCAGATAAAATTTTCCTTTGAATTCAAAAATGCAGGTTTTACTCTCTGAAATTTCTAAAACATGAATTGTACTGGTATAACATCATATCATATTTTCCATATTTCGTGCTGTAAAATCAACAAATTTCCTTCTTTATACAAACAAAAAAAAAAAAAAATCTTATTTCCTTCATAAAAACCCTTACTTTAATTTACTAGACAAAGTGCATTTAAAATGAATTCAAAATGATCTTGAACAGATGAAAGATCCCCACCTGTTCAAGATCAGGCGTTGAAGAAACGAAGTTGCAATTTTTTGCTATACGGCAATGTATGAGCATGGAAATGCTGCAGGAAATATGATTCATTCGAATGACGTAACGAAAAATGGCAACTACAGAAAATAAATATATAATTAAAAAGCATTATGTAAATTATGTATTTTACATTACTTTTGTACGTATGAATTTTACGTAATTTCGTGAAGCATCATGCATTTGCGGAAAAAAATGAAGTATTCAAATTAATAAAATCAAAATTAAATTTCAATTAAAGATTTTTAGATGAACTGTTTGAAAACAGTTTGTTATTTGTCTTGAGTTTTCCTGTCTTAAACTTATCTTTAATTTTTATTACAGTATTAATTTATTCATTTTCCACACTTTTATAAGGAATGCGTCAGTTATATAAAAATAGAATTTTTATGCATTGCAATATAATGGATGTATGCATATATGATTAATATTTCAGCTTCTAGAAACCAGAAATGTTCAAAAAAGATTATTCGCTTTTCTTTAAATTGTATACATAGTTTGGAAAATCAAATAATAATAAGTTTTTACAAGGTAATATGAAAAACTGAATTTAAATTCTTTTCTTCCTTACCTTGACCCTGAATTTTGTAGAGTTGACCAAGAAGGTAGAAAACAATCAGCAAACACGTGGAAATTTCCATCTTAATCTTTCTTAACACACTTCCTTCTGATTACGCGGATGAACTCGAAAGAATAATAAGGAGCAGTTCGGCTTGCTTGCAAAAGAAGAAAAAGCGTGAAATATTAACCCCTTTCGAACTACATCGGAGGTAATTTCAAGAGCTATTAATTCGTATTGCGATCCGTGCCGGCGCGATGAAGGGAAAATGTTGGCGATATTCCTCCTTAGCGTAAGCACAATCTTCAAATGAAGGACGAGATTTTGAGAACCCCAGTATCTATAAAGAAGATCACTACGCGCCGGAGGGAACCGCTGTCATCGCCAAAGTCGCCAAATATGAAACTGCCCGAAAGATATCTGTCATTGTTTTTTCAGCATTTTTGGTAATTTTAGAATTTAGAAGGCAGAAAAATGAGTTATAATCCTTTTAGTTAAATCCTTTCAGTTAAAAATCTATCGAAAACATTTATTTCCGAGATTACTTTCAACTATATTTCCTAGAGTTCTTTTGAAACGAGATTAAACTATCGCAAAATTATGCAATAACTTTGCAATACTAAATTAGTATACCAAAATTGAAAAATATTTAGCATATATGTAAAAGATTTAAATCTGACAGTTTAATTTTTATTTTGAATTATATAGAGCACTGTTTAATTTAAACGCTACTTCAACAAAATAATTTTTTTAATTATAATTCTTTCTTACCTCGTAAATAACTATAACAAATGTAAAAAATAAAGGACCTCTGAAATACACTACTTTAAAAGTTTTAAATATACAATTACAAATTATTCGTATAAATTATTCATATAAGAGGATATTCTCCTAGAATCATTTGTTAGTAGTAAGAAATCTAAATTTTCAGAAAAATATCAGTACTAAGGATTTTACATCAACACTATGGATTTCGTATCAAGTACTAAGGATTTCGCATAACAAAAGGTAGTTTAGATGTACATAAGTATGTCTTTATCTTTATTCATTATTAAAAAGTAATAAATTAAAAAAATACAGAAATTAAACTATATAGTATTTGCCAGAAGGTTTTTGTTTTTAATTTAACTTAAGATTTTATTTCATGTAAACATTTTTAGGACGCGTTTCACAATCAAACTTTGAGTACGGATTTATGATGATCGAAATTTTTAGTCTTCAGTTTAATCTCAGATTTCAGATTTAAGGACGGTTCAACTGAAAAAAAAAAAAAAAAAAAAACTAATATATCACACAACTGTCATTATTTTACTACATAAAACATTGGCAATGATCATTTTTATGAACTACATTAAAATGTGTTTAATGCAAAACAGGGGGAGGTTTTCTTATTAAGACTACTTTTTGGAATATTTAACAGTCAAAATCAATTATTTGCAAGTTTTATTCTCGTAACATTTCATGGACATTAAACTTGAATATATTAAAGGTTATTCTTAAGCTGATTATTTAACGTAATAAATGAACTATTTTCATGCGTTATCTATTTTCAATTATTTTTTGAAAATGAATATATTTATATTACTTTGTTTTGTGGATAATTTATCAACAGATGACCATTTTAAATAATACTCGGAAGCGTTGAAAGCGATATGCTATAAAAAGCTAATACTTTTATGGCTACAATATTAAAAAAATCTCAAAGTTTTCATACTTTATATTACACCCAAAGGGAATTATTTTAACGTTTCCTGGGTTACCTTTATTTATTAAATATCATGGCCTTCGCACTTAAACCACATCAAATTCAATGCAACAGCCAGTATCACAAGATATTTAAAAACAGCATATCTTTAGAATTTTCGATTGAGAGTCTTCCTCGCTGGAGATAAAAAAATTTTTCCGTACAGTGTTGCCATGGCTCGCTTTGAAATCGTTGAGTTTGTTAATGAAAACTCGTTAAAGTTTTGTAAAATATGAAATCGATAATAAAAAAAATTCGAAATTGAATATTCGGGCTTCCTGGTGAATATATTCGGGTGGAGGACTACGTTGTTTAAAATCTGATGGCTCTAGGTACCGTCATTTTATCACAATGCGAGAAACATACATACAGTTACTGCAGCTTCTTCATTATTTAATTCCTCTAAATATAATACAGGGCGATAATATTTGGTGGCAAAAATCTGAAAAGTGATACAGAAATTTATAGTGATTCAACGCAAAATTCCGTTTCGAAACTATTAGCTCTTCTGGGGTAACGTTCCTTTGGGATAATAAAATTTTAAATACTCATTCATTGCTTTTTTTTTTGTACACTTTTCCTTGGTATTTACCCAATATTTTACATATCTATATTAAAAATTTTAGAATAGTAATTTTTAAAATCGATTGGATTTTTTTTCCTATTTTGTATATAATACATGGCATCGGAAATGTTATTGCAATTGCTCTGGATCTTCTGCTACATACATACAATGCGACGTCGCAAACTTTATTTTCCGGAAGCTAGTTGTTGTTTTCCGTAAACACTGCGTATCCTGTATATGTACAATTTTACGATATTATGTCTCAATTAAGATTTTCAATGAGAGGAATTTCAGATTTTGACTGTAATGCTGTCGTAATTACTGCCAACCATCGGCTATAAACTTCTTTGTGATTCTTCATATATCAATAACTATTTCATGTTAATGACAAATTCCTATGTTATTTATCATGCATCAATAAAGCTGCAGGATTTCAACATAGTTCCTCTATCATTACATCCCTATCACAGATCTTCTAAAGACGAATCAGGAAGAAAGGCTAACGTGGAAAGATTATTCAAGTCGATTGATGAAGGAATAGTAGTAGCTCGTTTTCCTCTCTAGTCACATTATTTTATAAAGTGCGATGAAAGAAAGAATAATAGATTGTGTATTGACTTTAGGAAATTAAATTTTATTTGTCAATCTAATTTTATTTGTCAATCTGATTTAGAGTCATTACCTGACCCAGATATATTTCATTAGATAAATATTTTCTGCACTTTGGATCTGATAACAGATTGTTAGTATCTACTGATTCATTTAGAAGATACATTTGACTTTGCTTCAACTTTTCCTTTGCAACGTTTTACTTTTATGATGCCTTTGCTATTTTAATAGGATGTGGTTTGTAGACTTTGTTCAAGCACAAAATTAATTTTGCTTGTCAATTTTGATGACAGTTCGGTTTATTCATGTTCAGAATAAAAATATGTACAACACCTTAAGATGTCTGAAGGTTGTTAGTTTGAAATTATTAAGCTAATACGTAAATAACTGCTTAATTTAAATAACCAGTTATTTTATGTTTCGAATCTTTACTGTCACTTCTCTCTTTCCGCTTTCTCGAAAGAATGAAAATGGATTCGCATGTATTTAAACTGATGTTTTGAGATTGTTAAGTTAGAGCGTGTTCTGCCTCTTGAAGGATCCGTTACTATGCTTGCTATTCTAAGAGTTACTCTTTTCTATCTTACATTATACTTGCCGACAGTTACATTCCGAGCCAACTTTCCTTTAAATTACTCTACATAGCCTTTGGATTTACATCTGAATTTCTACTTTGAGTTTCTCGCAATAAATGCTGGCAGACATTTGAGCACTATATTCGCCTTCTGTTCATCTTTATAAGTGTTAAATAAAGGGTCTTTTAATATATTTTTCAAGTTTCTATCATACATAAAATATTTAAAAACAGCATATTTTTAGAATTTCAGATAGACAGTGTTGGCTACAGTGTTGGCTTGGAAATTTTTGAGCTTGTTAATCAAATATATAAAAATTTTGTAAACGTTATATGAAATGGGAAATGGATAATAAACCAAATTCGAAATTCAAAATTCCGGCTTTCAGGTGACCATGTTCGAGTGGAGGATTACGTTAGTCAAAATTTGAAACCTCTAGGTACCATCGTTTTTTCGCAGTGCGAGAAACATACATTTATGCTAATTCTCCTTTATTTAATTTCCTTTAAAATAATACAGGGTGATAATATTTGATGGCAACAATTGGAAAAGTGATTCAATCTTTTACAGTGATTCAACGCAAAATCCCATTTCGAGACTAATAGTCCTTCGGATTTAACGCTGCTTTGTGCTAATAACCAAACTGAAATGTTAAGCCATAGTTTATGCTTCAGACATATAGCATTATTATCGTCATGATCAACGTTTCAATATACATACTGATACGCAGTACTTGATACGCTTAAAAATGTTAATTATTTAAAGGTCACTTTATTTAAAAGGTTATCCAAACTTACTATGTATGATTATGAATTTAAATGTCTTAAAAGAACAGCAAATGAAGCTAATTCATTACCTAGGCATCCAATGTTACAGGTATCTAGTGTTTCTTGAAAATACTATAGTCATTAACCAGAACTTCAAGAAATATAATGAATGTTATTGTTATAAAAACAAAGAATTTGCATGAATTGTGATCCATTTCTTTATAATTTCTCAGTATTACATAGGATAAAAAATTACATAGGTTGCTGCTAAATTTGGAAAAAAAATGCGATATATGATATATATCAACTAAATTTTAAAAAATTAGATTAAAAATTAGAAAAAAGTTTGTCTACTAAGTACGCATCTTTTTTTTTTTTTTTTTTTTTTTTTCATAAAGTAAGCTAGGAAAGTATACAACTTACCTAAAACAGAAGTTCCAAATTCAGGTTCTTAATAAAATTTTAATTGACAGGAAACATTTTAACTGATAGGATGAACTTTCATTTCATCCATATTTGTAAGATTTCTTAACAACTGTAAAGTTAAATAGTTGCTTCGTTTCATCATCCAAAGAAACTGTAACTTGCTAACTTCGTTTCATCACCCAAAGATAAATAGCATATAAATCAATAAAGCGTGTAAATAGTGAGTAAACCAATCTATTGTTAACAGATTGAAATGTAAGGTAAATTTCTCACTAGCTGAAGTTCCATGATAAGCCATTAAAGCGAGTAGTTAGTTATTACAATAAACTCGTCATTCAAGTATGAAGTTCTCTCCAGCTTATTCGATGTTTGAAATACTAAAATCTTCTTTTGCCCCAAAAGGATTTTTATCCATCAAATTATGGTTTGGTTTGACTTTGTTTTTTTATGACAAAGTACGCTAGGGCTATCTGCCTAAGGAAAAGGATGCTTTCGTGGAGAACGTTTTGAGGGAAACTGGCAAACTGTCTCGTATACACGTTACACATGGAGAAAACCACGACAACGCCCATGCAACGAGCCCGTTCTTCTGGATTCGAACCCAG